TGACTTTTAATGTAGACACAACAAGGCAGGTACAGGTAGGTGAAACACACACACTCGGGGTAACATTCACAATAACCGACACTCAAGCTCAAACAGACAGGAACTAATACATGGTGGCTAATTAGTGGCAGACAGGTGAGCACAATGACGGTGATGAACTAATGATTAGACGGGCTAAACCAACACAAGGGGAAGAAACCACAATAAACAGTCCACAGGGGCGTTACAGATATCTCAATGATACTACATTTACATGGCTGATTATGAATGAATAAGTTCAAAAACACTGATTCATTTAATAACAAAACACTGGTGTGTGTTGTTCTGAGATGCAGTGAAGGATACAAATGAAAGAATATGATTAAAAATCAAACAAATGAAGGCATCTTTGATGCAAACCTATGATTGGACAATAAGAGATTTTACATGCCTGTACAACATTGTACATGTAGACACACCCTCTATAGTTTTATCTTCTCTCTTTTGCAGTCAATCTGTTGTAAAGGTGTTGTACCAGCAGTTGGAGCGGTATGCACAGGAGCCTGGAGCTCACTGGAGGAGCAGGCATACATGCTTCTGACAGAGACAGAGAGACAGACCATGAGCTATTACATTCAAGAGTACCAGCGTGGACACATCGGGGTAGAGCCTCTGGCCATGGCCCTGTTTGAACTCTTCAACACACATGCCAAGGTGAGACTGACAGCAAAAAAAAAAAAAAAAATGAAGAATTGCTAACAACCCATAAAGCAATGGTCTATGCCAGCATCTTTGTAATTTAATGCACAATGTCACTGAAAACTCTTAGTTTTAATGTTAGCATTGTATTTAAATGAAAAATTATTATATTTTGAATGATTTCAGGTGTTTCATTTAATGATCTCTTGGCTGTTCCCGCTCCCCAGCTGTCCTTGCTTGCTGAGGTGCGGACTCTGATCGCTCCGCAGGATCTAGAGCGATTCGACGGGCAAGTGTTACATCGCGAGATGGAGGCATGGAGAGCTCGGCAAGGCCCGAGCGGCCTCCTGCACCCAGACTCTATCTGCGTCACCCAACCAGAGGGCCACATTCCTGCTGCCTGCCAGCTGACCACTGCAGTCCCCAGCTACAACAAGGCACGTGGCTTTGCGTGCATCATTTGGTGTTGTGCAGTGCTGTGAATATTAGCATGCACAGGTGGACAGAATTAAAGTACAGATTCCCCATTTAAATATTACTATAAGTGCTTCTTTTAAATTTCTACTTGGGTAAGAGTACAAACCCTGAATCGAACAGTAATATTAAGAAATATTATTACAATAACTGTATTCAGGATTTATTTTCAGGATTCTTCAATGACTAGAAAATTCAAAAGAACAGCATTTATTTGAACTGTTTCCAACTATTAATTTCTTGAAAAAAACTAATACAATTAAATTGGAAAAATACACAAAACTAAAAGAAATGACACTAAAACCAACATACACACTACCATTCAGATGTTTTTGAAACAAGTCAAAATACAGTAAAAGCTATTTCTTTAAATTTCTTTAAAAACGTTGGACCCCAAAGGTTTTAGTGTATGCATGAAAAATATTGATGTATGAAAACTAGTTATTTTTTATTTTTTTATTCATAGCTTTCAATGCTCTATTCCCATATTTGATGAGAGAGGAATCTTTTTTGTATTTGTAATATCTAACTTTTCTCAGTCTGACTTCTACTGTGCCTGCATTGATTGGTCTGATCTGCTGTGTCTTGGTAATTGCATGATTTGATTCCAAGCACTATTGTAAAATCTCACCCACACAAGCCGTAATTGAGCTGAACTGATGAGAAATGAAGAACTGTATCTCAAGTGGAGCATGGGTTTCTTAAACTCAAACATCTTTTTGATTGTATTTCGTTCTGGAGTGATTGTTGCTGTGAACACCCGAGTCATTTCAGTGATTGTTTATGTTTTTTTGCTTTGCCTTAATAGAGTGAGTGCAGGTTGGATGGGAGTTTGATGCCACTTGAGAGTCTAAATTCTCTTCCTGATGTTGCTCTGGTGAGTTGTTTACGTTTGTCTTCTGTGTGTCTGCACACTGTTACGTTTTGTGGAGTAAAAGCTGTCAGCATTAAAATGGCTTTTGTATTTTTATGCCTGAATGTAACAAGAAAAGAAAGGGACATGATTTAGGACTAGGAAAACAAAAAATGTATCCCTAAAATACAAAGACTGTCACATCCCCTGTAAACCTAAGAAAATTGCGCAAGATATATTTTGTTTTTGGATGAATACATGCACCTGTATTTTGTAATCTCAAAGATTGATAGATCAGTAATTTGAAATGTAGTAGAGGCAGTGTATATATACAATACACCTCTACTTGACCTCTTTGTAAGAATGTGTTGAATACGGGCCTGTTTCCAATAGTCAGCCCCCAAAAAGAAATTTAATCTGAAAAATAAAATGAAAAAAGGCACAAAATTCATTAATAACAAGTAATTACACTAAAATCGACATATATACTACTGTTCAAATGTTTGGGTTTGATATAAGATTTTTAAATATTTTTGAAAGAAGTCAAAATACAGTAAATACTATATTATTAAATTATATTTTGAAATTTTATTACAATTTAAAATAACTGTTTTATATTTTAATATGTTTTAAAGTGTGATTTATTTCTGTGATGGCAAAGCTGAATTTTCAGCAGCCATTAATCCAGTCTTTAGTGTCACATGATCCTTCAGAAATCATTCTAAAATGCTGATTTAATGCTCAAACATTTATTGTTATTATTATTGGTGAAAACAGTTTTTTTGTGTGTGTTTTGCTTTTTTGTGGAAATTTAATTTAATTTAATTTTTTTGTAACAAAGCCTTTACTGTCACTTTTGATCAGTTTAATGCAAACTTTCTGTTTAAAAGTATAAATTTTTTTAATCTTGCTGAGCTCAAACTTCTGAATGGTGGTGCAATTAATTTAATATGTAATAAAAATATGCTTTTACTTTCAGTAGTTGATCCAACATTGCAAACCTTCACACTGTATCCAATGTAATTTTACAGTACACTGCCCTTTTTTTTTGTGTGTTTTGCTTTTTTGTGGAAATTTAATTTAATTTAATTTTTTTGTAACAAAGCCTTTACTCTCACTTTTGATCAGTTTAATGCAAACTTTCTGTTTAAAAGTATAAATTTTTTTAATCTTGCTGAGCTCAAACTTCTGAATGGTGATGCAATTAATTTAATATGTAATAAAAATATGCTTTTACTTTCAGTAGTTGATCCAACATTGCAAACCTTCACACTGTATCCAATGTAATTTTACAGTACACTGCCCGAAACGTGGAGTAGCATATTCCAGACAAAAGAGCTTGTTGCACACCTGATGCCAGTCAATTTTGCAGAAATTGCATGGTAACATCATAAAATATTTATAACATTAAATATATGCTGTTAGGTTCTAATTCAGAACACAGCCATGTGACAGATTTTCTTTTTATCTAGTCAATTTGCTGAAGATTGAGTTGAGTTCAATGGATTATTATCCTTCCCTTTCTTGTGCTCATTTAATTAAGCATCAGTAGCCCAACATTAACTCTTGTAATCATAAATGATTGTCTTGGATGAATCCGTAATTGACCATCTTGTCATAAACGTGTGCTTATGCTAAATGGTTGTACATAGAGACAACTCTATCATCTGTTAATTTCATAATGTGCAGACATTTTAGAAGGAAATGTCACCTTTTAAAATCATTTAAATGTCAGGATGTCTTTTTCTTTCTTTCTCAGCGTTATCATAACCTCCCTCAATGATAATGCATCCTTTAACTGCCTGTCTTAGTATTTGAAAGCAACAGTGAGGAGATAAATAGAGACAGTACGTTTGTTTTATTCCAGGACAAGATGCAGCCGTCATCCGAGTCACCCCCCTCATTCAAGCCTCCACCTCCACCTGTTCGACATGCCAGCCCTAAAAATCAGACCAAACGACCTTTGTCCAAGCTGTCCCAGAGCAACCTGCTCTTTACCGCCCCCTGTAGGCGGCATCAGGAAAACCACACCCACAATTTCTCACACTCGCACTACTTGTGCTCATTTAATTAAGCATCAGTAGCCCAACATTAACTCTTGTAATCATAAATGATTATCTTGGATGAATCCGTAATTGACCATCTTGTCATAAACGTGTGCTTATGCTAAATGGTTGTACATAGAGACAACTCTATCATCTGTTAATTTCATAATGTGCAGACATTTTAGAAGGAAATGTCACCTTTTAAAATCATTTAAATGTCAGGATGTCTTTTTCTTTCTTTCTCAGCGTTATCATAACCTCCCTCAATGATAATGCATCCTTTAACTGCCTGTCTTAGTATTTGAAAGCAACAGTGAGGAGATAAATATAGACAGTACGTTTGTTTTATTTCAGGACAAGATGCAGCCGTCATCCGAGTCACCCCCCTCATTCAAGCCTCCACCTCCACCTGTTCGACATGCCAGCCCTAAAAATCAGACCAAACGACCTTTGTCCAAGCTGTCCCAGAGCAACCTGCTCTTTACCGCCCCCTGTAGGCGGCATCAGGAAAACCACACCCACAATTTCTCACACTCGCACTCGCACTCGCCCTGCTCTGCTCACACCTCCCCATGTACTATCCACCACACTGCTTCCACCTGCTCTGTCCATCACACTCCTCCACCCTGCTCTCACCATCACAGCTCTCCACGATCGTCATCTTATCATGCTAGCCCTTCTTCTGGACCACCGTGTAGAGATTTGGTTCAGTTTCTAATGAGCAGGCAGGCGGCAGTGCTCTCCTCGCACCTAGAGTCTCCAAATCGTTCTAGAGAGGGCACCCCCATGATCTCTCCACGCTCCTCTCCGTCCCTTTCGCCTTCACTGCTAATGCCTGCGCCGCCCCCCTGTAGCCCCGAGGAGCTCGAGGGCTCCCCCTCTACACACAGCCGCGGTGCCACCCAGACCAGCCCACTACACCCTGAGCCAGAGACGACAGAGGAAAAGCCTCAGCCCCAACTACGAGGTGAAGACACTCTAAGATTACGTCTTAAAAAGATAGTTCAGCCAAATATGAAAATTCTGTCATCATTTACTCACCCTCATGTCATTCCAAACCTGTATGACTTTCTTCTGTGGAACACAAAAGTTTTGGTTACTATTGACTTCCACTGTATACAGTGGACATTTATTAAAAAATATTCTTTATATATTTGTATGTACAATGGAAGAAAACATTCATACAGGGTTGGAACAACATGCAACGAGTAAATAATGATAGGATTTTAATTTTTGGACAAACTATTTAAGTTAGACTCTTACAAAAAGAGTTTAGGAAGCAGCCCACGATTTAGCCGATCAGAAACACTCCTTGCCTGTTACAAGTTTGTGTGCTGACATTGGATTGGCTGGAGGAATCTGTTTAATGGTGCATCAGCAGTGTTGGGCTTGTTACTCAAAGAATGTAATATATTACTCATTACTAGTTACTCCTTTCAAAAGTAATATAGTTACTTTACTTATTACTTTCTGGCAACAGTAATTAGTTACACTACTAGTTACATTACTTTTTCTTCACGCCCCACAGAAGTTGTAACTGTGTATCTTCCACATAAAATTCTTCTAGAATATTACTAACAACATATCTCTGCCTCATCATAATATCACCATATTCCAAGCTTTCCTGCTGCACTGGGGACGTCAGATTGTTGGATTTTAAATCACCGGGGTCGAGGCATCAAAAGTAACTAAGTAACTAAGCTGTTTTATGAATGGTAACTGTAATATCATTACCGAAATCTTATTAGTAATTAGTTACACTACTAGTTACTGCAAAAAGTAATATTATTACAGTAACTAAGTTACTAGTAACTAGTTACTGCCCAACACTGTGCATCAGTCACTTTAGAAAGATCATATTTATAGTTTTTAAGTTGAACGCACATGAATGGCACCACAATTGTGAGTGAGAAATGTGGGATTTTCTTTGAGTGATAAAACATTGATGCAGTGTCGGCAGTTGAGGGTAAATTTGTTTGTGAAATTTGCGAAATGTAGGAAATTTTGTATATTATTTAATTTACAAGAAAACTAGCAAGTTGCATGTAAAAAATCAATAGTACAAAAAACAATAGTATTGTGCAATTATGATACAATATATAATGATTAA